GCTATTTATGGTTTCGTAGCCAGGCTGAATATTGGCTGCTCCTCTTTTTTTTGTACATTATATTCATTTGTAGGTGGAATGAAACAGATCTCCAATCAACCTTACAGTTTGAATAGGGACTGCTCGCAAAATGTATTCATTTTGATATGTAATGATAATGGCTTTTATATTAAAACTTTAATGCCACTAAAACCTTGAATCATAATTACTATAACTGTGTTGCTATTAGCACTGAGTGTGAGTGTTATAGCAATGAGGCTCATTTGCAAAGAAAGGGGCCACTTTTGCGCTATATTTCTGCATGTTTCCTTTTTTAAATATGTGCAAATGGTAGGAAAGAGATAGTGTTTGCGGTGCAGATTCCATGTCAACCTTTGCAGGTGCTTTGACATTTACATGTTTTCTTTTTGCCTAATTTGAGCAGCTTTATCGGCCGCACAATCCTTTTTAAAAGTATGCCCTGGATTCACTGTTTCACTGTCAATCTCCTTTCACTATAATGTTTGAGGGTCGTGTGGGTTTCTTCTAACATACTCTATTTAAATCCTATGTCACTTGTTGTGCTCCATTGGTGCATCCATGCCTCCAAACCTCTGGCTTAAGGTTCAGATTCTCATATGTGCTGTATTTTTTACTTATTTACATTTTAGGCTCATATAAAGAAGTTTGTTTGAAAAGGAAAATAGATGTTTTATACGTATCCAAGCCAACAAACAGATAAAAAGGAGGATTTTAAGCTGTGTTGCTAAAAGGCAGATTTCTGCAGCCATTGATGTCATGCTCCCCTGACCCTGCCACATTGCACCGCACAGCAGGAGGTGGTAATGAGTCAGAGCAATAGTCATTTTGCCATTTTTGACAGTTTTGATTTCGTCCTATTTCCTCATGGTGGACTGTTTGAGCGGCCTGTGATTGAGTCCACACTTTTCCCAAACAGCACAAGCAATATAGCCGTGTGTGTTTAATGCAGCGAGGAGACAGGATGTGACAAATAACACGTTCATATGCTGTGCTTATTTTTGGCGGGAGGATTATGTTTTTTGGCTGGTATTAAGATGGAATGGATGTCAAACGTGGTGACACTGATATGCTGCTGCGCTCCGTCAATTCTCACGGCTCAATCCTCACTTCCATCATCATCAGCAGCAGCCTGAGCTTCTCCTGGCACAAGCAGGAATATTTGTCTCAGAGCCAGCAGAGATTCAGCTTGAAAGAGGCTTAAATTGTGTACGATGAGTTATTGCAACCAATTTCTGCCAATTTCATGGTAAAATAGGTCACCAACACATGTCATGTTTACCACCATAGACTACTGTCCCTTTGGGTTGCAGACCTTTCAATGGAAGAAGGCATTAAATGTAACTTAAGTGCTTTTACTTTTTGTATGTTTTTATTTTTCATCAACATAAAGTGTCGCTGTTTGACACTCAATGTAAAAATTACCATCAAACTAACATAAGAAGGCAAAACACACCGACAATCAGATATCTTCAAACAAGATTAAATGGGGTGCAAACCGTATTTTACTTCTTTGTGCATCCATGTGGACAGCTGTAGTGCAGAAAAAATGCTGCTGTCAGTTCAATGTTCAATGACCAAATAACTGTTACATGTGTTGACCTCCGTTTCAACAGAAGGGAGTGGACTTTATCATGATGAAAATGTGGAAGATGTGCACAAGGAGTCAGTCTGAGTGCACCATGCTCTGCATCTTCCCAAAAAAAAAAAACTGCATCCTTCACCATTATGTGCAGTCAGGGCTGAATATTTTAGGGATGTCTGACACTGATATGTTAGGAGTTTGGAGAGAGGGCATCTTGCGGGGTTTTTTTTGTGGCTGTTGGGTTACAAACTCTCTAATTTTATAAGGAATAATTATATAAACACCAACATTCTATAAATAAACTATGGTTTGGCTGAAAGAGGTTAATTGTCTGACCAGTTTAAATGGGAAATTATATCACATTTGATTGAAAAACAGACCTCTTTTTTGTATGTATTACCTTATCATTCTATAAAATAGATTGCCTGTTGATGGTCATGGTATGGTCAAGTATGTACAATATGAGTTGGAAGAGCTAAATATCCCATTACCGTGACCATATGTTAAATATCGGTACAGAATACACCAATTATATTCATTTCATTAAGGCATTTATGATATTTTAGGATTACTTGTTTTTGCAGATGTCCTCAGATATTCTAATTAATCTTGCATACATTGTGTGGAAAAATGTACCAACATTTAATAACCAAACAGTTGAAGCTCATGGAAAACATGCAGTATCCAAATGTTTCAATGGAGTTATATCACAACATATAAGGTTTAAATGTATGCAGGTGTAATGGGGGCCTTTTCTGTCAATATTGCACATGTGTTAGAACTAGAAGCGACTTACCGAGCAGCGACCCTATGAGGATGAACACCTGGATGGCGGTGGTGAAGTCCCGGTAGGCTTGCTCCCGGAGGAGGCGCTGCCCGGTGCCCTCCGCAGCCCCGCCGCGGTCCCACCGGAGCGGCGGGGGACTGGAGGCGTTCAGCGGCTCCAGCCAGAGGTGGGCTGCCGCGGAGAAATTGGCTGCCCCGTCTCCCACCGTCACAGCCCGGATCCCACTGTCCATGTCGCTCACCCCGCGATGTTTAAGACGTCTGGCGGGATGTGAGCAGCCAGCATTGGAGAGGCATCTCAGTGTGGATGATAGCGATGCCTTGCAACCAAAAACAATCTACAAGCTTGCAAGCAGAGATGTCAGTGAGGCGGACACACAGGTAGGCAATGCGTGCAGCTGCCTGAAATAACAGGTTCTTCTGTCAGGAAATGTATCTGACACATCAGGAAAAAACATGATGCAATGATCAAGCCTCAAAGCGCAGGGAAATATCATGCATAGACAGCATGCCCCATAATCTTCCAATGCGGATGCATGGCAGAAAGCAGTCACTGAAATCCGTGCGCAGTGATGCTACTCTGACACCGAGTGCACCTCAAAAGCACACCGGGTTGCAAGTGTCTTTCCCGGCGAAGCAGCTTGCAGCACCGAGAACACGCCACCATCCCCTCTGGCCGTGCAGCTAAAATATCGTGTCCGTCTGTGAAGCTGATTCTCCGGCTGCGGTCGCACTGTCAGAGTCTGGTCATTGGTAGCCTGAGAGGTTTGGAGCAGTGTAACGGAATATCTCACAGCGTGAGGTGCCACACTGAGAGGAAGAGCCCCTCCTCTTCTTTTATGGCACCGAGGAACTCCACTGAGTCTTATGAATGACAAGTGTGGCCGAATTACACACTGATGGTCAGTAATGGAAAGTAACTAAGGTCACTAACTGAACTTTAGCACCAATTAAAAAGAAGTGTTTCCATTCAAGCTATTCAATTGTAGATACATATTGTTATATATTGTTTCACTTCTCTGACAGCATAGTTACATTATATTATATACATTTCCTTCCTGTCCAGTTAAAACCATGCATCTCCAAATGTGATGATCTTTTTGTCTGATAAACTGAAAGATGAAGTGTTCCTTTATGTGTTAAGTAAGTAAAGTCTACTTCTTAAAAACTGGACACATTATTTACATTTTTGCAGAGCTAAAAACAGGACTTTTTTTTTTTAAGAAACTCACAAAAAGTCCCCCTTTCTTTAGAGATACTTGTTTCTAAAAGAACAGCAATGCTACAAACATGGAATTATAATTGAATATGACGCATTGCTGTAGGCTAAACTACCCAACAGCTTATATAAGTTAACAGTTGTAAACATCTACAGCAGTAAAATGCAACATACACAATAATGCAGCAGTAATAATATTATCACAGAAAATATAAGTTATCCTGAGACCCATATAAATGAGTTGACATTTTACAATAATTAAGCTTTATATAATTTGTTGTTTTTTCCAGCCACAGAAGGTGCTTATATACTAATGTAACCAGACATGACTTTACCCTGAACACAAACCCTGCTGTTGTGCTCAGGCTGTTCTCTCACAGGAACGTGTGACATTCCCCTTTGGTTTGCTGGAAATACCAAAATAGGAGAGGACATACCTCCGTAAAACAGAACAGAATTTCTAATTTACTTCATGTTATTATTCATCACAGTGTAAGTCTATTTCTAGCCAAACAGGAACACCCCGAGGAGATGCTTAAATGGACCATCATGGAGAAACGACAGGAGATCAAAGATCTTAACTAATCATATGCTAATAATGCTAATTGTAATGCTAAATATATGAACTGTACTTGAATATCAAGCATTAATCAGCACAGTGCTGATTCATGTCTGACATTCATGAAGTCACATTCTGTATCATGTGATTTAGAAACATGTCATGCATGTCTGCACCAGCTTCTGTAAAAACTGTGTGCATAAAGGTGGACGTACTGAGAGAGATATCAGTGTCCCCAACAGAATGAGACTATTTAATGCAGGCTACATTATTAATAAAATCCCTGAGAACAGCTTACATCATCAAAGTAAATCCACTTCCATTTGAAACAGACCCTACATGTGAAATTCCAAGGTTTTCCACATAAACAATGGGATAAATAGCAACAGTGGGATCAAATTACACGACGAATATAGGCTTTTGTTGCACAATCTTTAATAATGATGCGTTTCATCTCACGTTGAATGTGACAACACTTACATTATGTGTAAAAGACATCAAGAAAAATGTAGGAAGGCTGAGCTGCCACTAGAGGCCAAACTTAATCAAATTATGAGTCATATTCATGGCGTCTTTGTCTGGGAGGCTAACTAATGTCTCTGCTGTTCTTCACTGTCTCATAAAGCCACTGATTGGTGTAAGCGAGTGCGTTATAACAAGGATGATGAAACTAAATGATGCAATTGCTTATTTGCTTGGTGTAAGACTGCAATCCTAAATCATTTTTGGAACAACAAATGTTCTCTGATTACTTTGTTTCCAGTTAATGTCCTTTATTTTAAAACATAGTTTATGTACATATCAAGCATAATGCCCCAATCCAGTTTTATATATTGGATATTGTTGTATTACAATGATGGATTCATTAGTGTTTTTTGCTGGTAAGAGATACAGATTATTTCGACTATTTGATATGCTGCTGTGAACATTAACCTATAATAAATCACAATCTATTAGGCTAATTCAATATTATAAAAATGAAAACGGAAATACTTACACTTCACTACTGAGCTAATGTAAGCAGATGAAATGTAACACAATCATATAAATGGTCAATGCAAAACAATAAGAACACATTGTCACACTGATGCCACTAAAAGAACACAATATTAAACTACTTTGCCCTTTTCCAATCAAACACTGAATTAACAAACTTGTATCAGAAACACAAGGAATTTAGGATGATAAAACTGCAATTGTGTAGAGTGTTATGTAAAAAGATACTGGAGGTAATTTTCCCAGCATGCCTCAGGTCACAGTCCTGGTATTATGCATCCACTCACTGCCTTGCCTTTAAATGGAACTGAGGCATCGTCATGTTTGATGTTAGCTTCACCTGTGATATCCTGCAAGGACCTGTCAACATATCTGCTGTGAAAGAGAAATCTATGTGAATACATGACCTTGTGTTGGATCCAAAGCGTGTTGAGTTTGTTCCGGCCCTACAAAAGTCAATAAAGGAATCAAATTCAGATTGGTTTGGCTGTTTTGGAGCAGGGTTATATGAGGTTCTTCTCCATTGTCAGTGTATCACATACAGTAGATGGCAGTTGGCACTCCCCTGGTTTGTAGAAACTACATGAATACAAGCCAGTAGAAAAACAATGTACTGCTTTGGATGGGGGCATCAGCAACACATTACTTTAGGCACCTAAAAAAAAAAGCAGTGTCAAGTCATATTAAGATAATGTTCACTGCCCTTCCTTGACTCCAGTCCTTTTCAATGGAAAACTGAAGCCTATGTGCTTTTTAGGACCATGACTCAATCGACAACAGTTATTTTACCTTGCAGGACATGCAGGACAGTGGATTTGATGGTTTATCGCTGCATTGATTTCGATGAATGTTTTAATTAGATTGTGTGACTTTGGTGAATCCAAACTTACCCTTTAAAATACCAACAAGGTCAAATTACTTGTCAAGGTCAGATGGCTTTAAAGAGACTATAGATTATTATTATTATTATTATTATTATTATCATCAAAGATGGATATAGAGGCTTTAGTTCCTTGTGGCGGAGGGCTGTTGTGAAAATATTCTAAATATAGTATACACTGAGAATCATAATACATCTTTTGGTGGGTAATTCTTTTAGGTATAATAAAATGTGTTTTGCTGCTGCCGCTGGCCAATGCATTACATTGCTTACCTTCCGTGCTGGTACTCGTTAAGTATCATTAAGTACACCTTTGAAAATGTCATTCATTAGAAACTGAAGGCAGTGTCAAGTGTTACTAACGACAGCCCTTCTGGCATTCTGATACACTTGATTCAGCATTGCTAGCTAACAAGTAGGCCTACTCTTGTTGTCCAAGTGGCTCTTGAAGAACTGCTGGACTCGTTCCCACAGATCGAGCTGAGCCTCAGAGTGGGCTTTTGGCTCCCCACCAAACACCACCTCGCTCCCTACGGCTGCATGAAACCCAGAGGGACAATGAGGCATGTAAGGGACTTCCAAAAAGTGTCCAGCTTTAGGGTATGTAACAACCTGAAAAGACTCTTTGCCATGACTTCTTAGCGTAGCAGCAGCCTGGTTGGCAAAGAAAACACTGTTCCAGTTGTGGTCGTCTTCAGAAACAGCAAACAGGAAGTGGCAGCTGGCACGTTCAATTGGGAACTGTGACGCCCTGTTCTTTTCCAAAGAAGGGTCAGGTAAGCCATTACGTACATATAAAAGCCCAGAGTCTGTGAATTTAATATTCTTCAGGACAGGGGTAAGTGGTGGTATAATGAGGTCTTTGTAGTGTAAAGGAATCACAGTATTTGCGTTGCAGCCATTAATGCAGACGGTGGCTGAGATCCCAGAGAGGAAAGAGGACATGAACAGAGCCACACCGCCACTGTGAGAGATCGATATGATGCCGATCCCCGGACCTTTAACCTGCATAGAGATTGTTTGTATTAATAATCAACTTAAAAATATTGTTTCCCTGCTAATATGTCCTAATTCATAAAAAGCAATAAAACAACAACAATGTCTTAATCACATCAAAAACCGAATTAAATACACTACGGTTTCAACTGACAATTGTTTTCATTACTTCTTGTTCTACATATTATTTCGCCATTATTTTTTTAATTAGTTGTTTTAATTTTTAAACAATGTCAGAAAAAACTGAAACATTTTAACAATTCCTAAAGCCCGAGGTGATATTGTCTTTACTTTGTTTTATTTATTTGCCTGTACAGCACTTTGGTCTGGAGGTTTAAAGTGCTTTATAAATAAAGTTGTATTGTATTGTATTGTCTTGCTTTGCCTGACAAACAATCCAAAATGTAAGCTGAAACTATAAAAAGATTCTGTCCGACTCATCAAATAAAGAGAATTATCCTAAATGATGCTTTATATTCCTCAGTTTCTGTCCCAGGCTTAGACATGTGCCTTCAGAAAGTAGCCAGCAGGTGGCAACATTGACACAGTTCATTCTAATATGGGCCAATATATCTAATACATTCTCAGTTTGAATGTTATTCATCAGAATTTTTTTCCCCAAAAGGTGCAAAACAAAGACAGAAGAAATGGAAGGGATAACATTGAGATTCTAATAATATAATTGTGATTGTCTTTACTGTTTGAGTCTCAGACACTAACCTCTGGCTGTCTCCTCAGATAAGTCACAGCCTCGTCAAAGTACTCCAAATCCAACTTTTTAGGGTTTTTTGGTAAATCCTCATAGCCCATATAGGCCAGCGCAAGAACGACAAACCCTTTATTTGCCAACAGGCTGGCTCTGGGCTCTGTGAGACGTCCACCAAATGTGTACAAATCCACTATTCCTGGGAATGGACCCTCACCTGGAGAAAATCAAAAATGTGTGAGTAAAAGTTAAGCAGAACACTCTCCAGTCGCTAAAAACACAACTAACCTGGTGGTATGAAGAGGACTCCTCGTATCCTTCCCTCTCGCACAGGTATTCTCTTCATCCCCTCTGTCATGTATCCTCTCTCGTTGGTTTCAGAGGCTAACAGCTCACCAGTCTCTGCACTCATCGCCTCGATCTCCACAAGTGTTGGGCTGAGCACATTCTTCTTCAGGAGTTTACTGTGTGGAGTCTCCGGTGCCATGGCCCAAAACAAGCCCATGGGCTCCACTCCGGTGTAACTTCCTCCCAGAGAGGGTGCACGGCAGACATCCACTTGGCCTGTTTCATTTGCTTTGTACAGGGCAGAAGCCTTGAAAACACACCCTCTGTCATCAACTAGTCTGGACCTCAGTTGGACTTGTTTGTGAGGAGTGAGTCCCTCTACTCGTACCTGCACCAGTTTATCAAAGAGACATCGAACGCTGGGGAGAATTTTCAGTCGGATCTGCGAGTAAGCCATTACAGCACTCTCTCTGTAATGGCCTGGGTGTATGTATCCCTTTTAATCAGGCCTTACTGGTACAGCTTTGTGGTCACCACTTCTGTGAAAGAAAAGAAAACATGTAATAAATGTCATCGCTTTCACAAAAATAAACCACCCCTGTGTGGCTTGCTCATTTTCACAAAACTTCTTTTTTAAATATGTATTTGATCACACACACACACACACACACACACACACACACACACACACACACACACACACACACACACACACACACACACACACACACACACACACACTTCTTTGCCATTCCATATCGTTTTTTTTGATGATTGTGTTTATCTTGGGACCCACAATGTATATTTTTTGTTAAGAATTGCCATAGACAAAATACTCTTCCATCTGTTTTGTTTAGTGACTGTGTAATTTTACATTAAGAATGCATTTTCTATATTGTGTCAGTGCCATCGCTAAACTTAAACAGTAGTCAAGTCATGATCAATAACTTTACAAGGTCATTATATAGTATGGCCCCTAGACAGACATTAAGGGGGAGGTAAAATATAATCATGTGGTGAAGCCAAGGCCAAAAGTAATCTGCAATAAGATATTTGCCCCCCTTCACCAACAACACTTGCACAGACATTTTCAGTAGACACAGTTGGAAAAGCACACTGGTGTAAAACTGAAATTAATGATGGCTGACTTACATTTAGCTGCTTTGATTTCAAGTCATGATACTTTGGATGCCTGCTCACTCTAACTGGTTCCAGTTAGAGTGAGCAGGCATCCAAAGTATCCTTGAATAGAACAGAGCCATTAATGTTATTAGTAACACTTTTTCCTATTATGACAAGTCAACAATATCTACAGTGCAAGAGTAACATGTGCAGCACCTGGGTGTTTAGATAAATAACACGCAGTAGCCTGTCCTCAGTTAATAGAGTAGAGTTCATTCATGTTTAACTGGGGGAAAGGTCAATATAATTATATTAGAGTGTTGTATGTCTTGTAATAAGGGACCAAGAGTCTTTTTAAATACAGATGATGATGATAACACACCTCACTTTTCTCAAAACGGATAAATGAACCGACGACATGTAGTTAGCAACTGAGCATTGAGCAATGGTTTGTTTAACTTTACCGCCTTTGTTTTGTACAAACTACTTACTGGTTTAGGCATACTGTAAGTATCTATCAAAATGTATTTCCAACAAGCCAGAAAATGACTGATTTGCATACCTGTACAACTACGATGCATCGATGTAAACAGAAGGCATGCAACGTCCACCATTGAAGCAAGTGGGAGAAACCACTTTGCTAAGAAGGGGGAGATCCGTTTTTGCATCAGCTTCTTCCGGGTTTTGTTTATTTAGTGAGTGCACTGATTTGAGTAGTCATGATATAACGATATGGTTACTTAAATTATATGTATAAGAAATAAAATAAAAGGAGAAGTCTGTAGCAGTACGACACCAAAATCAGGGGTTCATCCCTCTTGTGAAATGTAACCCTTCCATATATTTGACAGTGTTTCCTGGGCAACCATTAAGAGATGTTAACTACTCAAACATGAGATAAAATGTAATAACTACTTATTTTCAATTAGTAATAATGAATTGCCACATACATATAATCGACTTCAGGATCATACACATGTTTGTAGGAAGGTGAAGCAGCCACTAGATGTAGCATTGGCACAGTGTATGTATATTTGGGAAAGCAGGAAAGGTTAAGACACCCTTCCTGTACAAGCAACATTACATTTTGATCTCTTTATAGTGTATGTGTTATTTGGAGAATGCCATATAGTGTTATGACCATGAATCGGCCTACAATAGGACAAGGACAGGACATGATAGGAAACTAATTTACACCACATGTTCCTGCTGTGGAATATCTGATTAGATGTTGGACCACCTTGCTGCATATATTTTCATATTAATGAGCTAAATAGCAAAACACTAGGCTCAGCTGCCTCTTGTTTATCTCTAGGGTACCTGTGTGGGTCTTGTCAGAGATTGTTTACTTCACTCAAGGACATGTCAAGGGGTTTTTCAGGAGATGTATTCAAGTAATCCTTATTTGGCCACTGCCAGGGTTTCCGAACCTCTGGCATCATCAAGGGATAGGAATCCTTTAGAGACAAAGCGGGGAAATTAAGGCAGGAGGGGGATATGCTGTAAGTAGAGAACAGGGAGGGAGCCAAAATTAACAGGAATCGTAGAAAGGGAAAGTAAAAGTGTATTTAATAGCTATTCAGTTGAAAACATCCGATTTATTGTCAGTGAATTTCCTTCCTCTGCTTTTAAATGTTGATCATTTGCAACCTTTGCACCATTTGCTCAGTTCAATAACATCATAACAAATAAAGGGAGACATTATTATAGACCATATGGACAATACAAGACATACAGTATCAAAAACTTCACAAAACACTATAATCCTTTTAAATAAATTTCTTTAAAGTGTCTAAAAAAGAGTGTCTTATTGTGCTAAATAGTAATAATTGTAATTTAAAGAAACCTTAAAATGGAAATGAAAAACAAGATAAAGGATTAATTAATGTATGATATGGATGAATTTATCCTCATATTAAATCTGTTTTATATTTTCCCAGTCAACATTTCTCTGTAACAAACATTATGTGGATTTCCTATAGCTGCCATGCATATTTAATGGTTCCAGAAAAACCAATAACCCAATTCATATTCATTCAATATTTTCTAACGCATCCATAAGCCCAAGATGTTTGCAAATACTTTATGAATTATTGCAGGCTAAGATGATGATTTCAAAAATAAGCAACTTCCTCTTTTGATGCTTGCAGTGACGCATTATGTTTTGCAGGTTATAGTAGAGAGTGAGCTGCGGTTAGGTATGACGAGAGATCTCACTTTCTATCCCTTCTGAGTAAATGAAAGTAACAATCCCACCCACTCGTGTAACTCTTTTATCTGCAAGCACATTATGTAGTGCAGTACTTAGTATCAAATACTGGAATATACGAATACTGTTTAGGCACATTAGGACCACACGTATTGTATATTTACTCATCCACTGGTGAGTTTAACAACTATTGCATCTATTCATATGCATGCCATGATGATGTTAAGAGCCTTTCAAATTGTAGAGGAAGACAGAGGTAGACAAAACCCAACATAAAAGATACCTGTTCTATAGACCTAAAGTACATAATAGGTAAATATAGGTTGGCATACATATTCCTTTTCATTTCTCACAATAGTTTGGACAAAATAGCTGTACATTTCTCCAAGAAAAGTATCAATAATGATTCATTTGGTTTTATTATATTTTACTCAGTTCCTTACATAATTATATTTTGTGTATTTTGTCTTTATTTTTCTAATTTGTTTCAATAGTCTTAACATTATTATAATTGTTTTATTCATATTCTTCTTTCTGTGTCTTTGTATGAACCATATACTGTACAATGGCACATTTTTCGGATGTGTAAACTTGGAAATAAAAAAAATTCTGATGTCCGGCAGTGGCTCAGTCAGTAGGGTGAGCCATAGGGTCGCCGGTTCAAGTCCCCGACCAGACCTAAATATGGAGTGTGGACTGCTACTTGGAGAGGTCCCAGGTTACCTCCTGCCCTGCTGTGCTGCCCTTGAGCAAGGCACCAGACATCCCCCCCCCCACTCCAATTGCTCCCCGGGCGCTGTACAATAGCTGCCCACTGCTCCTAGACTAGACTGGTACTAGGATGGGTTAAATGCAGAGGCCAAATGTCACAGTGTGTGTGTGCTGTGTGCTCTGCATGTGTGACCATTAAAGAGGGTTTCATCCCCATTCTATTAGTGTCTAATTTGTAGCATTTGCAGTTGTTATTGTTCTACATTCACCTGTTTGCACCTTACAAATTATGTATCACTTGCATAGACTCTTATGGTACTACTTCTACACTATTTTATCTGTTTTATTGTGTTGCACTGTTTGAGGATCTTGGGACCTAAGATTTTCATCGACATAACTACACTGTAGCTATGTACGAATGAAAATAAAAGCCTTGAATCTTGAATCTTGAAAATGTTGATGTATTTTTCTCTCTTTGTGTGCATTTTCTTTTGTCTCTTCAGCAAAATGCGGTGCTTTTATTCTGAAGTCGAGCCCTGTGTCAGAATAGGATCCGCCCTTTTTAACGAGGTAGCCATGGAGACCGCGCAAGAGCGAGGAGGCAGCTGGTAGAGCGAGTATTTCCGCTCACCTAAAATAAAGAGCCGAGGACAAGGAACAACGGAACACCACTGACGGAGCTACACGACGAAAACAACCATCATTTATTTTGTATTGTCTCACCACATTCTGGTTTTTGGTGTCTCCATTTGTTACGACCTTTTAATGCCTCGAAAGTGAAGCAGTGAGAGGAGGGCTCGTCGCTAGTAACCTTTCCGTTGGTGAGTCCGTTTTGTCTGTTTTTACGCAAGCTAAGCACGCATAGGCCACTACGAGATCTCTTGTCTTTCCTTTTCCTTTAGTTAGTGTGTGTTGGTTCTATGAAAACAATCAGGAAATAATAGTACAAACCCTAGTGCGACATTTATTGATATATGTCAAGGATAATTACTAGTTGTCAATGTTGTGTTTGTCAACTAACTAGCTGAAGTGTGTTGATAATTAAGCTAGCCGTGACACACGTTAATAAGCTAACAGTTAACGTTAGGATTTCATTTCTGACACTTATATAGTACGCTTTAGGTTTTTATCAGAGGTGGAAGAAGTACTCAGTTATTGTATTTAAGTAAAAGTAGAATTATTACCACAGTGTAGAACTACTCTGTTACAAGTAAAAGTGCTGCAATGCAAATGTTACTCAAGTAAAAGTATAACAGTCTAATAATATGCTCCAAAGTACAAATCGTTCAGGCTGGCCCATTTCAGAATAATGTATACATTTGGGATTTTAAATATAAATGCATTATTTGTTTATCACAGTTAATTTGATTAAATATGCATAGTGCAGGGTTTCTTGTTGATGTACTACAGGTGTAACTAAAGTCTTATTTAAGTGTTGATTATATTTCATATCGTCAATTCAATGTAACTAAAGGTATTGCATTAATGTAATGGAGTTAAAGTACACTTTAACCTCTGAATTGTAGTGCCGTAGAAGTGAAAAGTAGCAACAATTTTAAATACTGAACTGTGTGAAGATTTCTCAAAATTGTACTCAAGTAAATGTACTTTGTTACTTTACACCACTGCAGATATCTCATATCATTACTTTACAAGTGTAGGGAGTAAGTCCATACTCTAGCAGTTAACAGCTTTAATGTTACTGTATTGATATTCTTTTCATATCACGAGAGGATATACAGTGCAGTTATCAACGTTGTGGCACAATATCCACATTACTTACGGTGAATTAACTTAAGACTGACAAAGACCTTACCATTGTTTGTATAGCTACTTTGTTACAATGTCTTGTCTGTGGTGTTGTGTGTGGTGTGTGTGTGTGTGTGTGTGTGTGTGTGTGTGTGTGTGTGTGTGTGTGTGTGTGTGTGTGTGTGTGTGTGTGTGTGTCACTTCACCACACTCTTTGTTTAAATAGCTCGCAGTACAGTTGCACGTGTCGAAGCGTGTGACTCTGCTTTAGGGCTGCCATGAAGTCAGTACACCACGTTTCATACAGTAACAGACTGTGTCATTGACTTATAAGGGCCTATCTTCATCAGATGATTCCTTTCAGTGTAATTTCCCGCTCGCTAATGTCCCAATAATAGTTCGAGTCGTTTCCTGTTAGCTGGGCAGAGTAAGATATGACGCTTAACGCAGCAACAAAGGCAAGGGAGTCCAACGGTGAGCTGTTGTCTATCATCATAATAATGGAGGACGTAGAAGAAATATACATTTAGATAAAGAGAGAAGAATTAGTGTGTGTACCTCTAAACAAATAGTATGGTGTGCTGTGTCAGCCAACCAGTGTTTTGATGCACCACATATTCTTTGGTGAGTTGGGGTTAAAGATTTGATAATGTTTTCTGCCAGAGTTTACTGTTGATCTTTCATATACGCGTTTAAGTACTTTGATATGAGCAAAAAAAACGTACAATCCTGCCAGGATAAGTCTTTCATTAACAACTCCTAAATAGATATTCCTTCATTAATTGTTGATATTGCTTACCATGGTGCAATATGATTGGTTTTAAAATAAAAAAGGAGAAGTACTATTACTGTAAATGTACTCCCCACAAGTAAAACCACCATCACACAACACTGTCCCGTCAGTGGGCTACTTTGTCTAGCATGACATAGCTCAATGATTACATTTAAAAAGGGACCAACACTTCACTTTGT